ACATGGAAACATTTAGGCTGTATAAACTTGATTCAAGACCCGCACCTTGATTCAACCTCACCCACCTGTTGTGAAAAAGGTTATAGCGGAATCCAAGAAGGTTACGGTTCTTTGAGACATTAGTCTAAATGTTAACAATCTGAGGATTTCTAGGAAACGGCATTTTGCTGACGATAAACAACTTAAATTCAAGAATATTACTTGTAATATTTCACCGTGTGTCATTGCGAAAGATTTTGAATCATTGATTCATCTGTCATTTCTCAAAATGAACCCCAACCTTGGACGTCGCAGCGTCTACCTTAATTATTATACCTAAAAAAATATTTTTATAATTTGATTGCTTAACCAAATATTGGTAGCTTATATTTGTTGATTCGTTGAAGATTATTAATAATTTTATGTGTTGTTGGTTATTTGTTAGTTATAATTATTAATTACAATAAGGTAATGTCACCAGTAATGGACTATACCCCAGTAATGGACACACGCTTAGAAAAACGAAAATAATAAGAATGATTTAACATATTTTTATAATGGTAACATTGAACTATAAACTAATTATGTCAAGCTGTCAACTGTCACGATTTCGGATTATTCTGACATTTCTGGACATTTCGTTGCAAAATTGTCACAGTTTAAATAGCACCAGGCTGGCGCAACTTCCATAGTAAAAATTATATGTACTACAGGGGTCAAATTTTAATGACGGTTATCTCTTCTTTCCGCTTTTCGTAATATGTCAAATCAAATAGGTTCAAATGTCAAATCAAACAATTATATTTGTATATATTTTATTTATTAAGATTACTTTTAGTTTTGCTATAGGAGCCGTTGTTCATTTACATAATTGTTAAAACTAAAAATGCATTATAAAACTTTCCAATTGAATGGTGCAAGAAGCGGAAAAAATGTTAACAAGAAAAGGCTACTCGTAGCAATATTTCCCTTAGATGATGAAAGGTATGTGGTCATTTCTACTTTGATTGTAATATGATATTTAATGCGAGTACATTTTTGGACTAGCCATCTACGTAGGACAGGTTTTTATAGTACGAGTATACGATTGTGTGCAAAAATACAAACACACTATTTCCTAAATCTGATAGTTTAATGGAATGGCAATCCCAAAACTAACTCTACTTAGAAACTACACTGTCAATTGTGACTGCTAAGATTCTAATTGTTCAATATAATGTGATTTTATTTATATTATTTTTCAGTTGCAAGCAATAGACGTAACAGTTGGCACATGCACCAATGGAAAAGATTCACATGTTAAAACATATTTGTGGCAAACATTGCAAATCCGAAGATTTAGAAATCCAACTAAAACGAACTATTTCATCAGTGGAGTTAATTTAAACTTCCACTATTATGTGTATGTTAATTAGGTTTCATTTACATGTAGCAAAAGATAATATCCATATAAAGTCACATATTGGTAAGAATTCGATTATAAAACTAAACTCTAAAGTTATTTTTAATTACCTGGTTATAAATAGTTTTTTTTAAAGATTCATCTACAAACATTAGCCATAATGAGCACTCATTTTGAAAGCGACAATAAGTATACGATCTCTGCGAGTAGTATGTACGTAGGTACCTCTGTGAAAAAGCCTAGCGATTTGTACATAGTATTTGTTACAGTTAAAAGCAATTTAAAAGCAATTGGTGTTAATAAACGCAATTTTATACCCTTTTAAAAAACTAACGTTGAAAACAAGCGTCCAGACGCAAACTATTTATTTTACAGCATAGCAACAATAGTTCAGTGCGGGAACGAAGCCTCGGTCCTGCAGTGCCGCAGCCAAATGCTTAGCCTCTGCGCTACGGAGTCGTCATTTAGTTTTTATTTAATAAATTTTATATTTTCTTTACACATATTTTTGTACCTAATAACTGTAGAGATGTAATTACTAATTTCTGCGTGTAAAATACAATGATTTGTTATCCTAATCGGCATTTTTACTCAATTCCTAGACTAAAAGTTTTATCGATAGAATTATTCGAGGATAGACATTTACAGCACTATTAGAAATCGCCTATGTTGTCAGCACTGTTTGTCAAAAATTTATTGTCATGTCTTGATGTTGGTAGAGTAGCTTGGCGCAATGTCATACATTTACTTTTTCTTAGGAAGTCCCGCCTCTTAAGGGGCTACTCCATGCGAACGACCTTGAGCATTTTGCCGGCGGCACGCCGCTCGCCTCAATATATTGCTTATTTGAAATATGTACGACGCCACCACCTATTGTAGGTACGAACGTAGTATTATTTTTTCAACATCAATGCACTAATTTATGGAAATACACACAGCCAAAGATGTTTTATAGGTCATAAAATATCTTTGCACACAGCGTACAACGATAAATGTATTTTAATTTTTTTATTCGGTATATTAGTTGCATTATATTAGAATTATGTATTTTCATATATTATCTAAATATGAAATTTTATAATTAATTATATATTAAAAATGAAGCATTGAAAATTATGAGTTTAAAAGATACCTATTCACTATAGGTAAATAAATAGATAGCTCGCCTTTTGTACAAATATTTGGTGCAATAAATAATAAATAAATAAATAGGATGTTTCGTAGATGTGTTTTTGATTATTGTTAATTTTTACGTGTCACGTATTGAAAAGTAATATACCTAACTACTAATACAAAAATCAACAAGAAGTATAAGGGTTCAATCTTTCAATTTCAATTGTAAAAAAACGTTACCCCCACACTAGGATTTTCTCCTGTGTCGTGGAGGCAGTTTACAAACATAAATTGCACAAGGACAAACATCCAGACCCGGAACAATTATTTGTAAGCCATACAAATACTTGTTCCGTGCGGGATTCGAACCCGCGGCCCCCAGCGCAACAACTAATTGCTAAGCCACTGCCCCACGTAGCCGTCGCCGGGTTATAGCTAAAGTGACCACACGTCCCGTTTTGAACGGGACTGTCCCTTTTCTCGGTCACCTGTCCCATTGTCCCCAAACAAAGCTCCGGGACACAAAATTGTCCCGTAACTCGTTGGATGGAAGTATTCAAAGTCAACAATCTTCAACATAATTTTTTAATCGAATATATTTTATGTCTACCTGGTACGAATGCTCCGGTAGAAAGAGTATTTTTTTTTTTATTTTGAATAAATTGTGGACGTCTGAAAGAAACACTTACGGTTCCAGAGTTCTAAAGGCGATGTTGTTAACAAAGATAACAATAAAAAAACTTGAGCAGAATTTTATTTTTATTTAAAATCATCACTAACTTTATTAAAGAAAATTTAATCCACTGACAAATGTAATTAATAATTAAGAAAAATATGTTGCATTTAATAATTACCGTCTATACCGAATATAATTTTACAGTGAACACTAATTGTATAAAGTTATAGTTTTTAGAGTATAAATAAACCCATGTCCTGTTTTGAGTTAAAAAATAAATGGTCAGTTTAGTGTTTTTAGTTAAATTTAGTTTTAAAAATTTTTAGTAGTAAAAAGTAGGTATATTAGTACCTACTTAGATACTTTTTACCGAAGTATAAGTATAGAACACCTTATGTACTCAATTATTTTTGGAAAAAGAAGAAAAAACAAGCAATAAATAATATACTATATTTTAGCAAAAAACTATAACTTAGTAATACTAATTATAACTTAGAACATAAATGAAAAACTCATAACTGACAGGGCCCGACCCAGGATTCGATCCCGGGACCTAATGATCAGCAGTCGCACTACTACAACCACTAGACCAACGAGGTAGTACTGTACATAATAAGATATTGTGGTTGGGTGATAATATTGAATTAGCCTTTTATAGTGTAAATTATAATATTTATCGAAATTTTAATTATGGATTCGAACCTTACATGCCAATGGTGCTTCATTTTTTTATTTGCATTTACTTCAAAGAAAATACACGCAAAAAGCTTCATCGCGCAGTAAAAAACACAACAAATATATGTATAACTAATACGAAAAATTATACCCAAAACAAACAAATAATACTACCTATAAATAACCTAATAAGTAATATTATTTATCGACTGATATTACGTGAGTGTATGCGGCGCTGGTCGACGCTCTAACGACACGGGCTTCGCGTCGAAGAGCTCAGGGCTCAATGACTCCAGCAAGCCCGTGAGCAGTGAATATGCCCAGATTTTAAAATAATTTCTTAATAAAATCAAATTTTGGTCTTTTGAAAAAAAATTTACTATAGAAATGTTTATTAATAAATTGTCTATCCATTGGTGTAAATCGCAAAATAAAATAATACTTACTTTACGAGGAGATCCATGTTATCAATAATAATTTCACATTTATGTGGTTTCGTTGTAAGGAGATTAAATTAATATTTATTAGTTTAAAAAAAAATTGGATATAGCTTTTATGGAATCAAGATTATGTAGAAATATAATGTGTTTTTTATTTGTTGATATATCTTTTAAATAAAAAGTAGATAGCTTATGAAAACCGCACAAATAACGACTAGCGCGACATTTTGCTCAACCTGCGCCTTAAACGTAGTGGTTATATTCTCTTTGAATAGCACTGTGCAGAGTGATTTCCCAATTTGATTATTTCTAACGGAATTTATTAGTGAGGTGAGTAGATATTTTGAGATATTTCTGGAAAATCTTTAGAATAATTCATTACTATATTGAATAGTTTATTTCATAGAAATATTGTAGGTACGAAATTAACTTAAAACTATTTAAAGGTGCTTGTATATTTTATTAAATGTGAATGTTCATAACTGGATATCGATTTTCAACTAGAACTAGTTATGGACAAAATGTCCATGATTGAGTATCTATGTTTTCATAGCAATTGCCTTCGTTTTACGTTTGTTGTACCGTCTTTTGGGTACATTCTATTTATGGTACTGTAACGTGGACGCAATCCAGTCATGAACATGGATGTCCAACATTGGTTGTTCATTAATGGATTTCAAATAAAATTCTAATTTTGTTGTTTTCGTTACTAGACATGGCGCCCAAAAAAAATTATACGCCAGAACAAATGCGTCGTGCCATAGAGGCGGTCAAGAGAGGAGAAGCAGTGAGTGCAGCAGCATCCAAATATGGTGTACCTCGTATCACGCTTAGAAATAAGGTAACGGGGATAAGCCCTGCGGTTTGTTCAATGGGCCCAGGTACGATTTTTACGGTTCAAGAAGAGCAAATATTAGTAAAATGGCTTTTTGCACTAGCGGATCGACATTTTCCTATTTCACGAGAACAGTTATTGGACAGTGTCCAACAAATAATAATTAAGGACAATAGGAAAACACCTTTTACTAACAATCGCCCTGGAAAGACGTGGTACCAAGCATTTCTTAAAAGACATCCTGAGATTTCGGAACGAACTGCACAAAATCTAATAACATCACGAGATAATGTCACTGAACAACAAATCAAATCTTGGTTTACTGAGATCAAAAATTACCTTCAGGAGCAAAACCTTGAGCATTTGCTAAAACGACCTAGCAGGATATTTAATGCAGACGAAAGTGCATTCTTTTTATCACCAAAATCTAGTCGTGTCTTAGTAAGACGGGGTGATAAGACTGTGTATACCACATCTGGTAATGAGAAAGAAAACTTGACTGTTTTACTAACTGCAAATGCTGCTGGTCAAATAGCGCCTCCTATGATAGTGTTTGCTTATGAGCGTGTGCCAAAACCTATATCTGATAGCGTACCTGATACTTGGGGTATCGGGAGATCAGAATCAGGGTGGATGTGTAGTGAGACTTTTTATGAGTATTTCACAAATATATTCCACCCATGGTTGATCGAGAAAAATATCGAATTACCAGTCTTGTTCTTTTTGGATGGCCACGGATCACATTTGACGACACATCTTTCAGACTTCTGTGCAAAAAATGGAATAGAATTAATTGCTTTATATCCCAATAGTACGCATATACTGCAGCCAATGGATGTTGCTGTCTTCCGACCATTAAAAGTATTTTGGAAGAGGCAGGTCATTAGGTGGAAGACTGAACATCTGGGTCAACAGGTTTCAAAAACTTCTTTTGCACCTATACTGAAAAGTGCTTTAGATGAAATTACTAAAGATTGTATTAGTAATGGTTTTCGAGCTGGCGGCATATGTCCATTTGGACCGGAATATATTGATTTTAGTAAGCTCAACTCAAAAAATCGATCAGCAGAAATCACGAAAGCTCAAGGTGCTTCGTCGCAAAATGTGAAGTTTCTACGGATGTTGGAGCCTGAAATCGTAACACTATTTTCTGACGAAAAATTAAATACATTCAAAAAGTATTTCTTTCCGCGGAGAACCGATTTAGAAAATGAATTACCTGCTGAGGACATAGGACTCTATATGTTATGGGCTAAGTATAAGCACTTATGTCATATTGAGTTTCCACCACAGTCCACATCTGAAGAAATAGATCTACAATCCATAGAAACAACAGCCACTCAAACCACGTATTATGCTAATAATCATGAGTCGGAAGTTCTTTTAAATGAGTTTTCGCCATACTCTGGGCAGTTGAAGTGCTGCCTGTTGAAATACCGATAGCTGACAATTGTTCTCCCACAATGTGTACTGTTGAATCACACAATGCCCAACACTCTACGATCGATGTCGACTCTGAATTGCCTATAAATAGTGGGGAATTTATTGAGCTCCCACTGCAGACCCGATCAGAACAAATAGAACAAGAATTCGAAGAAACAACAGCTACTCAGACCACCTTTTCTGCTACTAACCCAGAATCGGAAATTCTATTAAATGAGTCGCCGCCATTCTCTGGAGCACTTGAAGAGCTTTCTGTGGAAATGCCGATCGATGACAATTTTCCTATCAGGATTTTTACTGTTAAATTACAAAATGCTACACACTCTACGACAGACGTCGACTCGGAATTGCCTATAAATAGTGACCAATTCAATAACACAATACCAGCTACATCTAAGGCAGAGTTAGGAAAAAATTATGATATTATTATGGAATCAGAACAACCTGAGTTGACCAGAAATATTGACTCGAATAAGGACTGTATACAAGGTATATACGATAGTGATTTATTAGATGTTGAGCCTCCTTATCCCCATCCTAGACCTATCACTCACTGTATCGAACCAGAAATGCAACATTGTACACCCACAAAAAATATATTAAGCAATGTATTGGGTGTTGTAGTGCCGTCCCCTTTTAAAAAAAGTATTTTTTGGCCCGAAATTGAGGACAAGAAGAAAAACAAGAAAAAGAAAGAAAAGTTACCATCGGCGATTACAAGTAAGGCGTGGAAGGTGTATCATGAAAAGAAAGAAGCAGAAAGACGTAGACTACAAGATGAAAAAGAAAACAGAGCCAAGGTGAGAGCAGAAAAAAAAGTTTTAAAGGAAAAAATCTTGGAAGAAAATAAAAATAAGAATAGGTTAAAAGGAAAAATGAAAAAGGTACAGAAATCTTCATCTTCAGACGACACCGACTTAGAAATTGATTACGCTGAAAGTGGTGACAGCGATTGGAATGAAGATAGTGATTCAATTATAGAGAATACGGAAGGCGAAAATAAAATGGTGACTGGAAAACGAAGACTGAAACTTGCTTTTCATAAAAGGCCACTAAAAAGGAGTCAAAGACGTTTTTCCCACGGATGGGATCTTGAAAATATGTCTTTAAGTTCACTGGCGTCTTCTAGCAGTAAAGTTTCTAATAAAAATTTAAAAACAGGTTGTTATGTAATTGTTACATATGAAGGTGAATATTTCCCGGGTAAAATTGAAGACAAAAATAGAGGGATGTACGAAATTAGTACAATGGTACTATCAACTGGGAACACTTTCAGATGGCCCGACAGAGCAGATAAAATCTGGTATAAAATGAGTGACATTATTGAAATAATTAGATCTCCTATAAAACAAAATAATAGAGGATTCTTTAAAGTTGTAGAGATGAATAAATTTTTACCTGATATACTGGGTGGCGCCCAGGTTATCACGTTAAATAGCACAACAGTTAATACAAGTTGATATATGTCTGTTAAAATAATAAAATAAACAATAATAAAAACTAATAAAAAATGCATCTTTCAAACAAAATAAATAGGGTAAAAAATCACATAAAATAAATCATCCTTGATAATATTACTTAACTGACCTGAAATGACTTGTAGAAGCGGCAACGTCGCGGCCAGCGGTTCATTGCTCATGCGACATCGATATAGGTAATTATATTATAATACCTAGGTCCTAGGACTTGCCCATACATAGGTAATTAGGCACGCGTAGGGCGATGCTAATCCGATGTTATCAACAAATCACAAATTTCATGGTATTTTTTTATCCAAATAATCACTTTAACCTTGAAATCACTCAAGTTTATGAAACAAATCAAATTTTTAAATTTTCAAAATGTCCGCCGTGTACCCGAATGCATAATTGACATCGTCGCATGATATTATTTCGGACTTTTCGAAAGAGGGCACCATTGGCTGCAAAATTTTTTATTTTGTCGAAAGCCCGCATTATTCTTATTTTTAAGTCTGACACACCACTAAGTTATTAAATATCACTTATCTATTATTAACGAGTCCTATCACAAATAAAAAATACAAGACAGTAAAAGAAAGCGTCAAATTTCGCACAAATAGTCACACCACCTCCTCAACACAATTATTATTATAGTATTAACGTGTCCTATCACAAACAAATCAAGAAACTTATGAAAATATCCACAAAAAAAAACTTTAAATTAAAAGGACGTGTACGCGAAAAACTAAAATTAGGTCAAGCGATTAATGAACCGTTCCCAAGGACGCCGGCGTCGGACTAAGTGACTTACTGTCTTACTTTATCGTCGCACGCGCCAATCGACCACATCCCACCCTCCCAACACCCCGTCCCAATTCTTGTCGCATCGCGCATAAGAATTATGCCTTATTTTGTTACATATAAGTACATTTTTTGCTTAATTTATTACTTTATTTGATTATTTAAAATTGGCAACGTTGCACTATAATACAATATAGGTCTCTTGGCCTTCACGGGCCATGGGTCTTTGAACTTCTAGTATTTATCAGCTGATGCATTTACATGATGTTGTTTAATATTAAAACAAAAAAAAGGCTACCGCGCCCAGAATGTTAATTGTTATATATTTTTTTAGTTGTGTATGTTTAAAGAACTTTGTATAGAATACGTCTTTTCATTTAACGTGATAACTTCATCGTCACTTTGTATACATGACATAGATTTGAGATACATATTAGAGACATAAAGATTTAATAATTATTGGGAGGTGCGTCTACCGTTTATTAGATACTTAAGTCGGTTATGTGTAATTTAACTAACTTAAGTAAGCTACTTGTATAAGTAATTTTATTGTTTTCGTCTTTTAAAGTTTTATATCTATGATTAATAAAATTATTGTTGTTGTTTGTTTAAACCACCACTGACTGATTTTGATGGTATGAAGATATATTGTAAGAGCACTTACTAATGTTTAGTAGTTCTAATTTGTGAATTTTATTTCTGCTTGTACCAATTTCGTTCCTCAAGGTTTAATACTTACTAGTCTTATCATTTGTATTGAACATGTCAAAGTAAGTAAGGCAAACATTGCCTAGTTATTTAAAGAAACAGCTTTCCTATATGATTATTATTTGTTGTCTCTGTGTTCATTACTAGAGATTGTCCATTAATGGGTGTCCATAATTAAATTGCTATTTAATTATGGATTTGTCCATTATTGTCCATTACTAGTGATTAGGAACGACTTTGATTTAACTTTTTTTTAAACATATATAACCTGTTATTATATTTTTCTTTATTAAAAATGGTTTCCAAGATACTATTCTTTTATTTTTTCATATCAAAATATCTAATTTCATTAAAAGTGGTTGGCAGTATTATATTATCTGAAAATGTTTTCTAAAACTGTCCATAATTGGTTCCATTACCTTATGTACCTAACAAGAATTTTGATAAATTTGTCAAGTGGGTTATCAAAATCCATAATTAAACTATAATAAATTGAAAAAAAATGTATGGCGTACCTACCTATCGTGTTTTATAAGCTCTTGATGCTGTACATTTTATTGTTTTTTTTTAAGAGTTTCAATATCAGTTCTTAGAATCAACCTGAAAAATACACGAGAGTATTTTTGTTAAATAACGTATAATACAGTTTTCCCATGAATATTACCCACCTTAATTGTTTCAATAATTGTGATTTAGTTTAAAAAGTCCAAATGTTTACGGTAGATAGGTAAGTGAAATTTGTCACCTAATGAATATTGTTGATTAGTTTTTAGTTAAGAATAAACGTTTTATTTCATTCCCGTCACATGCGGTAAATTTAAATGACTTATAACTCTTAAGGTAATTAGTAGAATAAAGTGTCTCATACATAATGTTTTATATATTTAAACCTAGAACACGATAGATAAATAAATCCTTGTAATATGAATGTTTTTTTTAATTCTTCATTTTATTGCATGATATAAGAATCACTCATCCATCGACTTCCTGCATGTCTTACCAGTTCGTCACTCCATCTCGTGGGGGGCACCCTACACTTCGCCTACCGGTACGAGGCTGCCACTCAAGAACCTTTCTTCCCCATCGGTTATAGGTTCTTCGAGCTATATGGCCGGCCTACTGTCACTTCAGCTTACTAATCCGCTGGGCTATGTCGGTCACTCTGGTTCTACTGCGGATATCCTCATTTCTAAGTTTATCACGCAGAGAAACTCCGAGCATAGCCCTCTCCATAGCTCGCTGAGCGACCTTGAGCTTCCTCATACGGCCAGCAGTGAAGGACCACGTCTCAGTTCCGTAATTCGTCACTAGCAACATGCACTGGTTGTACAATTTCGTTTTAAGGGTATGTCTGACGAGAAGATGTGTCGTAGCTTCCCGAACGCTGCCCAGCCGAGTTGAATCCGTCGATTGACCTCTCGTGTTAATAGTGTTAAATGCGGGATATCTTAGTATCTCTGGGTGTCGGAGGAATGCATGGCTAGAGATATCTACTTTTACGTGGTAGAGCCATGCTGTAGCTATATTACTGGTATAGTTGTAGCACGAATGTGTCGGCTCGACCGGGGAAGGACCACGCTCCCACAGAATACCAGCGTAAAATTGCAGTTTAATAATGCTGTGTTTAGTATTCAAAGAAGCATTCAATCTTAGTCCTCACGGGTGACAACGGATCTGCATTGCATGATTCGTAATCGAGGATAATGCAGATGTCTATGGGCCACAGCAACTACTTACCATCAGGTGGACTGTGTTCGTTTGTCCCCCTTAACCTATAAAAATCCTACATCTCCTCTATCTCCTTGGGAAATGCCGAGGTTGGTGCGTAAACCTGTATGACCTTCAACGAATACAGTTTTTTTATTCTGAGTGTACGGTACGCAACACACACAGGTCGACACCCTCCTAATCTTTACAAAGTTGTTAAAAAGACTTGTGGACACCTCTTTGGGACAAATGGTCAGAAAATTTTGCCGAATTCGAGAATTAACGTATTCTTCCCCTCTTGAACCTCAGATAATCCTATAATAT